GGTTAAACTGAAAATTTCGGTATTGCACATTTTTTAAAAAATCAACTGACTTTAAATAACTATAATTTTATATTTATATAATTAAAATCGTTGTACTTTAGTCCATTTGGCGCTAAATTTAATAAACTTTCAAATGATCTCTATTTTACAGCTTTAATTGCAGTTTTTGCAGAGATATTTTTATTTGAAGTGAAGTTAGTATATATTTTCAAGTAATCCAACAAACTGCAGGGGAGAGTCCGCTGTTAAACAGCAGCCCCGGTTGTGCAGCACTTGTTATTTTGTTCATGTTTCTTTATCTATTGATATGAAATTTATGTCAACTTTTGGTCACGTTATAAAGATGTTTTTGAGCAAACACCGATCTGCAAAATATTATTTGACCTTTTGTGAGAATAATTAATAGTAGAGAAGAAAATAAATAATTTTGGTTTGTTGATTTTCGTTAATTACTAGCACCTGGGCAATCTACGGCCAAAAATTGAGGAGCTAAATTTGAACATTTCAAAATGTGTGTTTTTAACTGAACTATTCAAAAATTTCGTCAAAAATATTATGGAATTAAAATTTACTAAATTTTTCGTAATTATTATTTTTTATTTTATTGTTAAAACTGTTTGTATTCTTCGATTTCTTTTTTGAAAAATTTTCAAAAAAACTACTTCCTTTTACAAAAATTTTAAGCCTGGTCCGGTCGTGGGCAAACAATTTTTTCAATATTTTCGGAATTTTTAAAAATTTTCGAAATTTTACATTTTTAAAAATATATCCGGTTTTTTTATACTACGTAATTTTATGTATTTTGATGCGCTGATTATTATGAAAATCATAGCAATACCCAAAAATTTGATTTTTATGGTGCAAACCATAAAAACGTCTTAAAATTTTTGTTTTTTTTGTTTATCGGGTAAAAATATGCAAAATTTTCGAAAAGTGCATAAGATATAAAAATGTATTTTAATTCAAAATTTCGAAAATTTTTATAAATTCGGAAAATATTGAAAAAATCATTTTCCTATGACCACACCAGGCTTACAATTGTTGTAAAAGGAAGTAGTTTTTTTTGAAAATTTTCAAAAAAGAAATCGAAGAATACAAACAGTTATAAAAACAAGATTTTAATTTTTAAATTACAAAAAATGTAGTAAATTTTAATTATATGAATTTTTGCATCAAATTTTTGAAAAGTTTAGTTAAAAACAGACATTTTGAAAAAATACTTAAAATTGATGAATTCAAAAATAAAAAATTATTAAAATTCTTAAATTTTGAAAAATTCATGTCTCGTAAACGTCTTGATGAAAAAAATTTTAAAAAATCTCCCAGTGTAAAATTTCAATCCCGGCTTTTTCCCGATTGGAATTTTAAAATTGAAATATTTCATGGTGTTTTAAAGCCCATGAATTTTTACATATATTTTGTATGGGAAAAATACACTTTTTCGTAGATTTACTGTAGAATCATTAAAAATTAACATTTTTCGACCTGACTAATCTACTTTTCTTTAATAATGTTCAAATATAGATTTCTTTAAAATTGCTTACTTTTAATTTTATTTGATTTCTTTACTGGAATTTTTTTTTCTTAACTAACATAAGTATTATTATTTGTATTTACATATTTAAAAATGTTTTTAATAATTTATACCTAATTGTTATTGTTTTACTATTCTCAAATGCACCAAGACGAATAAACGAACTCAGGCGACATTTCGGTACACTTAAAGTGTATACCAAATTTGAAGTCGATTCATTAAAATTTATTCGAGTTATCGTCGGACCAAATTTTTTCTACAGGCATACATACAGACAGACATTTTTTTAATACATCAGAAAGTCTCAAAACGTGGAGATTCATTGGAATTAGAGAAGGCTCAAAATCGCCCAAATGGGGCGATTATGGTGAGAATGTAAAAAAATTGTACCTTTGACCCCGAAAAAGTCAAATTCCTTTCTGAGTTTCATTTTTTTTGGTCAAAAAAATTTTTTTTTCAAAAATACATATCACCAATCGAAAGAGCATTTAAAAAGCTTTCAAATCTGACAAAACAAATTTATTTTAATATTTAAGAAAAAAAAATTATTAAAACATGCGGTGTACTGTAAAACACCAAAACTTTTACCCCCTCCCGCTTTGAAAATATTGTACTAAATGGAAAAATATTTTTACCAAAGATTAGCATCTATGACAACTACAAATGCCCCAAGTTTAAGCGTATTTGGAGAAAAAATTTTTTAAACCTTGATCACTTAACGTGTAATCCCCCATATGTAAAAATTCATGATCTTTGAAACACTATTAAATATTTATTAAAATCAAAATAAAAAAATTCGTATTTCTTTTTTTTCACTTAGAACAAAATTTTGGCCTGGAATGATAAAAATTCAAAAATTTTGACGTCTGTGAAGCTAGAACCGCCATTTCGAAAATAATAATTCGGACCTTAAAAATGAATTAGGGCTCTTAAGGGCTCTTAAGGTCCGTAAGGTAGAAATTTCGGGCTATTGGCCTTCTTTTTGAATCACATGCACCTCACCTTCACATGTTGCTAACGGCTCAAAGTTCTACTATACCCAAACTTGAATAAATTCAATTTTTTTAAAAATAACCGTCTGCACCCTGAGTGGAGAATGTTTTTAACACCGTCATAAGTTTTATTCAATCAATTTTTAACTCTGCGAAGAATTCAAAATGGCGGATCCAATATGGCGGATGACACTTTGAAAATCAACCACAATTTACTTGAAACTTGTCACTCGGGGTTTTTGGGGTCGCTGATTACGAATCCGATTTCAGTTTTTCAAAATTCAGAATGGCGGATGACATTTTGAAAATCGACCGCAATTCGCTTGAAACTTGTTACTCGGGGTAACAAAGCATTTTGTTAAATGTACAACAGTATCTGTTAAACAATAACTAACATAAGGTTGGATATGCATTTCTAACTGGCTAGAAACTGATTAAAGGAATGGTCTGATCTTGAAAATTAAAATACATATGCTGTACTTCGATCTACACAGTATTATTGACAGATATGGTCTGATGTATAAAATCGAAACACAAAAGTAACATTAATAAATTCTAGAATCTAGTACAATGTAAAAATGAATCGATGATACGGCAATCAACACAACAACGATAATCAACACACTGATTGTTTATGAGTGTTTAGTAAACATATGAATTAAAGATACTGTGACCTGAAATTTAAATATATTGAAATGTTTTTCAAAAATCCATTTCTATGTTATATTACGAACAGATGGTCTCATGTATAAAAGTAATGTTCATAAGTGTCAATAATGAAATCAGAAAAACAAGTGCAGATTAATTTGTTTATATAAGTTTCACGTCACATATAAGTGAGAAGTACTAGGAAGAAGTCAGCATTACAGTAAAATGTTAATCAAGAACTATTGATATCTGTAAAAAGGAGAAGCCAAAATCTAATTTTTATTGGCTTAAAATCTCTATTTCCTCTTTAGGGGATGGATAAAAATATTATTATTTTAAATATTTAATATTTCCTCCATTCTTTAGTTTTGATGGCGCTAATAGAAATATTCATTCCTGTAAATAGGAGGAGATTTGAGTTATTCATAAAGCATTATAAACATAAATATGTTTTAAGTTGTGCAGCTTATTAGTTAGAACTCTCGACTCATATGCATTGCTTTTAGGGTTTAATTCACAGCTGGGTAATGTTACTGTAATATTACTGTAATATTACACCGAAATAGTACGAGTATTTTTTGTAATATTCCATAAACATTCGGATAAAATAGCATGATGCTTGGGTTATTTATTAAAACTAAATATTTTCTCTTTTTTGTATTTCTCATGCTGCGAATAGAAATCTTGTTTTCTGTAAATTAAAATAATTATTTGGTCATATTGGATCCGCCATTTTTAATTTTTGCAAACTGATATCGGATTCGTAATCAGTGACCCCAAAAACCCCCGTATAACAGGTTTCAGTCTAATTAAATGATTTTTAAAAAAATTCGTCCGACATATTGGATCTGCTATTTTGAATTTTTGAAAATTGACACCGGCTTCGTAATCAGCGACCCCAAAAACCCCCCGAGTTACGAGTTCCTTTTTAAGACAGACAATTTCTATTTTACCGATATTTTATTTGACAGAAGTTTCATTTATCCGAATTTTCATTAGATAGAAATGTTAAAATGTCGAATTTCCATTTGATTGAACTTTCATATATCAGATTATCCACTTGGTACAAACATTTCAGCGGGAGTTTTAAAATCAACCAATCAAAAATGATTAAGAAAATTGTGATTAGTTGATTTTAAAACTCCCGCTGAAATGTTTGTACCAAGTGGATAATCTGATATATGAAAGTTCAATCAAATGGAAATTCGACATTTTAACATTTCTATCTAATGAAAATTCGGATAAGTGAAACTTCTGTCAAATAAAATATCGGTAAAAAAGAAATTGTCTGTCTTAAAAATTTAACTAAGAAGAATTTTTGTTAAATGACAATTCTATTAAATAAAAATTAGATTGTATAGAAATTTTTTGAATAAAACTTTTATTAAATGATAATTTTGTTAGGTATATAGAACTTATTTTGTTTGGAAATTTTGTTAATTAAAATAATTTTAAGTGAATATTCGGATAAACAGAAATTCGACAAAAGAACAATTCTGATAAATAAAAATTCTTTTTTATGAAAATTTTTCTAGAAATTTTGTTAAATGGAAATTGTATTATTTGAAAATTTGATATATTAGAAAATCAGCATTATTACAGTCCAGTTAAATAGAAATTGTATAAAATAAGAATTTTGTTAAATAGTAATTTTTCGGTATTAAAATTGGACTCATTATAAAATCTCTTTTTTAAAATTCTACTAAATGTAAATTTGATAATAATAAATAATAATAAATTCATATGAAATATGAAAGAATTAAAAATTTGTAATCTAATATGAGGATCTTTTTTTTAAATTAATCGTAAAACATTTTTATTTACAGAAATTATGTGTCGACAATTTACTTCCAGCACCAAATTTCGTAACGTCGATTATGGGACCATCACATACTCCCAACTTCACCACACAGTGCACAGTATCCCATTATGAGGAGGTAGGTTATGCACCTAGTAAAAAAACTGCAAAACGTTATGCGGCTTTAAAAATGATTAATGCAATAAAAAATGGAAAAAGTATTCCAATTAATGCGGAGTGCCAAACTATGTCAGAATTAGGTACTTATGTATCGCCACGTATAAACTACTTGCTTTCATTAAAGAAAACAGATATAAGCATGTCAAAAGATGAAAATCATGTTGAAAAGTTTGTGCCTTGTGAAGAAAGCACATCTATTAAAACAAATATTTCTCCTGAAATACAAAGTCAATTATCTGTAGTTAAAGAATCTATTGAAAAGCTACTGCAACTAATTTAAGATAATTACAACCATTAAGTTTCAAACATTTTTGACTAAATTTTTTTTTGTTATTACGCAATTTTTTCAACAGATTTTATTATAATATATTTGTATTTTATTGATGTCCTTATATGATGATTATAAATTATCATATAAAGTTTCAGTATAATGTTTTCTTATTCACTCATGTGGTTAAATATAATTATGAATATAAATCAAAAGAAACATCTAAATTTCATTTAGAAAAGTATATGAAAAGAAATATATATATTGGTATTAATCTAAATAAAAAAATTTCATAATGAATTGTTCGTACATTTTTCAATATAGCTTTGTAAGTAATTTGTCAAATTTAAGCCTAGAAAGCACATCTGGGGTAGTAAACTACACTAAAAAAATTCAAAATTCGGTATTATTTGCAGATTTTTTTTGTTTATGTGGTTTTTGTAATTTTTTGGCAATAATTTTGATTCTATCAAAAAACAAAAAACGCTATCTTCTTCATAATAAAAAAGGAAAATAATTATTCATAATAAAGTTATTTTGCGTTAAATATGAACATTCTAACAACAAAAGAATTTTGGGGTGGTTTTTTACCCCAGATGTGCTTCTACGTATGAGCCAGCTATATTGCGCTTGATTAAAAATGACAATTTTAATAAATGATTCCATGACAGTTTCTCTATAGCCTTTTTTATTGATGATTAAAACATAAAAATTAACATAATTTTTTGAATTGTACATGGGATCGTTCACAAACTACGTCACACTTCAAGGGGGGAGGGGGGCAATTTGTGACGACCCGTAGAAAAAATGGCCCTAAAGTATATAACAGTGTGTGACGTGGGGGAGGGGGATACAAAAATTGAATAAAATAGCGTGACGTAGTTTGTGAACGACCCCCATGCAATGACGTTAAACTATGTTTATAGACTCAATTACATCATCATTAATTATGTTTACAGGCTTCACAGTGTTTCCCCTATTTTTCCATCATTTTAAAAAATTTACTTTTTTCTCTTTTTTTATGAATATTTCTCCTTTTTTTCATTCATTTTCCCTATTTTATGTTGAAACTCGAATAATGGTATATTTCATAAAAATCCAAATTTTAACCAAAAAATTACATGACTCGGATTGCACGACTTTTATCGACTTTTTTCAATGAATGTGACTATTTTTTTGGAAGGGGTCTCAAAGAGTCTGTTGCTATTAGCTTAATTTCTAATATTTATTAACAAAAATTTTATACCTAACTTACTTATTTTATAGTGTACTTTAAGGTAACTAAGTGCTCAAATAAAATAATTTTTTTTATATGAAAAGAATTATAAAGAGACTTACATTTTTTGGCCTTTTTGCACGGAAAAACTTTTTCAAGAATTATTCTCGAATTTATTCAAGAACGGAGGATATGGGAAAAATACTTGAATTGCTGCAGAACCGTAAGTTGAAATATTATTTATAGTTTTTGGGGAAAAACTGTAGTGAATTTCTGGACAACTTATTGAATTTTCAACCAAAAATTCACGAACTCGTTTAAGAATCGAAAAGTATGAACTGCGAGAAAAAAAATTTGCCTGCGTGAGTACTCGAACTTGACAATTAGAACTACCAAGAATCAAGATATCTGCCTTATGCCGCTCGGCTACAGAAACGTGTTGCGTCATTATAGGTGGGAATAATGTTTAACGAAAGCAGGCGTTGTATCTATAGCTCACGCTGCTTCTTTCTTAAATAGTTCGAGACTTTTTCACCGCACAGTGACTGAGATATTATAGTCGCGGCGTCAAGAAAACTTATTCTTCAATGATTATAGAATTTTCTATAAAAACTAGTAAATTTTTCCCATATCCTCCGTTCTTGAAAAAATTTGAGAATAATTCTTGAACAAAGTTTTTCCGTGTGCCCCATGTAACCATTCAAATTTTTCTATTAAAAATTCTTTAAAATTCAATTACTGTTTAAAATTTTATCAATAATTTTCAGCAATTGAAATTTACAATTTCTGTTAGGGTTAGAATTTGATGGGAAAAGGTTTTAGATTTTCATTGGAAATTAATCATAAAACAAAAAAATGATTTTTCTTATTACAAATTCCGGTAGGCTAACAACATGCCCTTCGGACAAATTTAATTATAAAGGTAGTGGATTCCTCCTACTACCATTCTATTATTCAGAACGTCGTTGAGATTCGTATTCTTATTGTACTCTTAATTTGATCAATCAGAAAAAAGGAAATATGAGAATGGTTTGAATAAGAAATAACAATTTAAACCTCAAAGAAAAACGTGTATTTTATAAAATAGAATAAAAATGATTTTATTGCATGTATCGAAACGATGTGTTTGATAGTGTGAATGTGTGCGTGGTGTAAATATAATGTATTAAAACTCACCAAAATCAAATCCATAATATTTAATTCAATAGTCCTCGATAATCAATCAATATTCAATAATCAATATTCCAATATTCAATAATCCTCAATTCAATAATCAATATTCAATAACTCAATAAATCGATATTCCATAAATGACAAATCAATATTCAATAATCTATATTCCAATATTTAATAATCCTCAATTCAATAATCAATACTCAATAACTCAATAAATCGATGAACCGATATTCAATAATCACAAATCAATACTTCAATACTTCAATAAATCAATCCAACTAAAAGAATTTCTCCACTTAGAGAATTCTTTTACAATACACACTTGGATCAACCCCAAACTCCGGGTTATAACACCGTCTCCTTTTGAGACCTCAAACTCTCCAAACCTCTACCTTAACTACACTCTAAACAACCCTGGTCTAAGGGGTTGTTCTACCCGTCTCACTCGGAGACTTCACTACTAAAGACCTCGATTTCTCATCAACAATTGGTTTTATTAATTGACAAAATAGTGGGATTCCTATTTCCTAATATTCTCGATATTTATTTAACAATACTAAAATGATAACAGCTACTTGTTTCTTAATTTATTTATAAATTAATTTGAAAAATTGTGTTTGTGATGTATGTTTGTGTTTTATATTATTTATAATTCCATCTGTAATTTATTATAAGTAGAAAAAGAATTTAAATCACTATGTGATTTAAATCTTACAATAATTTATTAAATTTAAGTATCTTTTATTTAAAATTGAAAATTTTAAAAAGTTACGAAATTCGTTCGTAACAAATACCCCCCCCCCCAGGATCACAGTACCTATTATCATTAAAAAAGGTGAATAGGTACCATTTTTCTCTAAAATAGGTTTATTAACAATTTATTTGTTAATAGAAAGTAAATTTTTTCAAATATCAAAACATATAATTATAAATTTAATGTTTATAAAATACATAAAATCGTTTCTTAGTGTCGTTTCTTAATATTTAATATATAAAATCTGAATTTAATTTAAAGTCAAGATGAACCATTCTTAATGCTTCTTTTTCTTCGTAGCACTGTCCATTATAAGGGAATTTTTTCGCCTTATATTTTTATTGAGCTTGTCCACCTCATCCCTTTTCTTTTTTTCTGCTTCACGTAACTTTTCGAGACTAATTACCATTTTTTTATGACGATATCTTTAGCATTTTTTTTAACTGCTTCTTTTAAAGCCTCTTGCATTGATTAGGAATTCTCAAGAGCAGCTTTATAATCTTTTTCTGCAGATTTCAAATCGTTTTCTAGTTTCTTGATTGTCCTTGATCTTGTTTCTGCTTTCAAACGTTGTTTCTCAGCTTCTTGTTGAGATAGGATCTTTTGCTCATCCAAATACAATTGGTTAGATTTATAAGCGCCTTTACCGAGTTGAAGTAAATCAGGTGTTATAGGCACTTTATATACCATTTTATCATACTTTTTCAGTGCATCAATGATATATAATTTTGAATTCAGAGTTCTTTCAGACATATTACTTTCATCTTCCGTTAAGATCCTTGAAGATAACGAGAAGTCTCGTTCGACATCGGCATTTCCGTGACTTAAAGCAAGAGCGTTCTGTACAACTCGTTTAATTTCCGGGTACTTCGGATTATTTGCATGATTTTGAAGACTAAAGATGTGATTCCAGTAAACATCGATTCTTTATTCTTTGTGAATCTGACCTGCTGATCCACCCTCAGTAGTCTCCATTCGCATTCCAGTCTATCAGTATCCACATTTCGAAGAGGCAATAACTTGTCAATTTCTACAATATATCTTACACTTTCAGGATTTTTAAAGTTTTCCTGACCAAGGCACTGAAAATACTTTAGAGTTTTGAAACAGTGAATTCTACTTAGTAGATGTTTTACACTAGCAATGTAAAATTTTTTTGCTTGATTTAAGAACGAGAACTGTAATAGTTTTGACAATTTCGCTAGCGATTTTCTTGCCTTTTCTCCGACGTTGATTTCATCAAGATCCAAAAAATTTTCGATTCTTCTGATAACTTCAGAATATCTTTGGTCTGAAATGCAATCGACTCCAAAGCAGATTGCTTAGTCATGCTTGAAAGCAAAATCAAAATTAATGTCTTCAATTGTGAATGTAAAAGATGAATTAGCGGTTCTTCTTTTTGCATAACTAACGTGAATTCTGTGGTGAAAATTTTCGCAGTATAAATTGCGAACTGCAAAGAGATTTTTAGGAGATCATCTTTTAGATACATCCTGGTAATTTTGCTTTTGTAAAGTTGAGCTTTCCTTTTGAGGAATGTGTTTTAGAAAATAATATTCTAACGCAGGAAGCTGTTCCTCTATTCTTTCTGCTGATGCGCCGAGAGTAAGCCATCTTTCCTTGACGTGTTTGATGAAAACATGTTGTGGAAGGTTCATTTTTTCTGAATTGCTTCAAAAGTTTCACAGCGTACATCCCGGTGGTGAAAAAAATAGTACACTTTGATAATGAAATCCGAGATGTCCACATCTAAACATTCACAACCTTTCAGAAAGGAAGTATGAACCATATGCAACTCGCATGTTCCTAAGTTGACTAGGGGCTTCAATTTTGACTTTTTTAATTTTTCCTCAATTAAATTCATGACCTTTTTATTTACATTTGGTCCATCACAACTTAAAGCCAATAGTTTTTCCAATAGTAAGTTATTAGAATCCAAAGCTTTCATCAATCGTTCAACTAAAATTTCCCCCGTTGCAGATCCAATGAAAAACGTTTCAAGATGTCGACATATAATCATGTTCTCAGCATGTGACCAAAACGGAACTCTGATTTGTAATTCCTTTTTACTTTTTACATTACTAGTTTCGTCGAAAAGTAAAGAAAATAATACGTCAGGCAAATCTAAATCATTAAGCAAAAGGTTTTTAAAAT